CCCCCCCCCGATTGGTCCCCATCCTGGTCTGACATCCTCCGCCTCCCCCTCGCTCTACCGACTGCACATGCTTCCCGGACGCACAACAGCACCTACACCCCCCTCAGCCGGCTGAATAGCTTCGCCGACATTCGTCTGGCCTACGTGACTCACATTGATCGCCGGAATAAGACCGTCACCTACCAGCCGCTGGCCACGCCCATGTCCACCGCCTCGCCCGGCTTCCACCCGAACAAGGATCCCGCCGGGGGAAATGCCCCGGCCAGCGGCGTCCCCCCGACCCCGGTCTCCTCCTCCGACCACTCGACCAGCTCCAGTGCCACCAGCTCCGATCGGAGCTCCGTGTCCGGCCAGACAGCGCGCGTTCTCAACCACAACCAGGACCTGGCCCAGGCCCGCCAGCCTGGCGTTGAGCCGGTCACCATTTCCTACTCGGCGCTCCTGATGTGCCCCGGGTCGCAGGTGGCCACCTACGGCACCCCTGGCGTGGATGAGCATGCTCTGCACTTGCGCACCACCGGCGACGCGGTGCGCGTGCGCCGGCGCCTCACCAGCGCCTTCAAGAAGGCCCGCGAGCTTGTGTCCTCGGTGTGCGGCCTCGTGCCGTCCAGCTCCGACCGGCGCAAGGCCTACGAGCGGGCCGCCGCCATCCTCAGCTTTGTTGTCGTCGGCGCCGGGCCCACCGGTGTCGAGGTCACCACGGAGAGTGCGTTTCTCCTTGCTGCGGTCTCCGTGGCACGCGCCCTTGCGCCGACTCCCGCCCCTCGCCCCCCGATTTCCGGGCATGCCTCGGTCCACTGACTGCTCTTCTCGCGCGCGCTCCCCCCTCTGCCCCCCCCCCACACCCCCTTGCCCTGCCCTGCTCACAGTCCAGGCATTCATCCAGCTGTACGCTCGCAAGCACTTTGGCGGCGAGCTGGCCGACATGGCCCGCGTGAGTCTGGTCGACTCGAACAGCACCATCCTCAGCAATGCGCTGCTGGCGCCGCCGCTGCGCTATCGCGCCATGCAGCTGCTGCTCGATCCGGAGCGCAGTCCGAATGTCCGCCTGCACCTGCGCAGCCGCGTGGTGCGGGCCGTTGGCCCCAACTCCGACGAGCTGGACACCGTGCGCCAGGCCGTGGAGAATGAGACGCGCCTCGAGCAGATGGAGCCGGATCCGGCCCTGGCCGCCGCGGCCGCCAGCTACGCCGCCTATGTCAAGGCCCGCGATGAGGCCCTGGCCAAGGAGGGCAAGCTGCCGACCGGCGCCGGATCTGGCAGCACCCCGGCCGCCGGTGCCGCCAGTCCGCCGGGCCCCGACACCGAGGAGCCGCTCGCCATGCCGCCCGGCATGCTGATGCCGGCCACCATCGACCCGCTGCCCGACACCCCGCCCCTGGCCGACGAGATGTCCGATGGCTCTTCTTCCTCCTCCTCCTCCTCGGATGAGGAGGATGCTTCCCACGCCTCGGCCGGGCTCACGGCCACCACCGACTCGGTGGCCAGCAGCACCTCCAGCACCCCGTCGGTGCGCAGCCCTGGCCCGGCGGCCGCGCCGGCCTCACCGCAGCCCGGCATCGGCGGGCGCCAGTCCTCGGGGACGGGCAGCAACAGCAGCAGCAGCAGCAATGTCCTCCGGTCGCCGCAGCTGGTGGCCGTCAACCGGCCGCTCGGGGCCCTGCGCACGTCGTCCTTCTCCGGCTCGGCCGGGTCGCTGGGGTCGATGTCGTCCACGTCGAAGGGCCGGTCGTCAACCGCCGCGGCCGCCGCCGCGGCCGGCATCAATGTCGAGGAGTTGTCCGCCATGGATGTGGAGAACTTCTGCAACATGCTGACCATGGACCCGTCGAGCGTGCGCCAAGCGGTGGCCCTCTACGGGTCGAAGGTGCACCAGATGTACATGGACGCCAAGGACCGCGACGCGGCCCGCGAGGATGGCATCGTGCGGCTGGAGCTGCGTCAGCTCCAGGGTCCCGGGTCCAACATCGACCCGCGCATTGCGCAGGACGCCCAGGCCGGCAGCGCGACCATCCCGTCGGCCTGCTCCGGCTCGACGCTTGGCCGTGCCAACAGCAAGCGTCGTGGTGCTGGGTCGGCCTCTTCGGCCGGGTCCGTCTCCTCGGGCAGCGGGTATTCGGTCTACTCCGGGTATGGCGGCAGTGGCCCGACCGCCGCCGGGCCGGGCGCGGCGCCGGTCAACAGCGATGCGGCCAGCACCTCCGGGTCTTCCATTTCCGGTGACAGCACCTCCACCAGCCGGTCCTCCCCCTCGCGGTCGACCTACTCCTCGATCAGCAGCTCCCTCTCGCACCTCCCCTGCAGCCTGATGATCTGGGCCACCGGTAACCAGCCCTCGGCTCTCATCAACGGCCTGGACTCCTCGTTCAAGCGCCACGACTACACCGGGCGTCTTCTCGTGGACAAGTACGCCTTCCACATGTCCATCTGCCACATGCTGCTGGTTTTTTTTTTTCCATCCCGCCTCCGGCTGGACCCCCGCTCGGCAGGCATGCGCGCCACTCTGAGCCTGGCACACTGACCCTCGCCACCCTCCCCCCCGTTTGCGCCCGCGCCCGTGTGCTCCACAGCTTCATGCGTGTTGTCATCGAGGATGAGAACCCCACCGACAGTGGGCTCGTGCGTGCGGTGTCCAACAACAGCCAGTCCTACATGGTCGACCCGTCGATCTATGTGGCGGGTGATAGTGCCATCCACCTGGACCCGTCGATTCATCCCTGGCCGATGACCGCCCAGGTGGCCAACCGCCAGGGGCTCTACCTCGCTCAGGGTGCGTGTATGCCATACGCATGTCCATTTGTCGGCTGGCGGCTGGCATCCGCTCTTCCTCCCTTTGGTCGTGGTCGCCCTGTGTCTGTCCAGTCTCCTGTCACATTGCTAATTCCCGTCCCCTCCCCCCCCCCCCCTCTCTCTCTCTCTCTCCCGCTCTCGCTCTCGCTCTCGCTCGCAGTCTTCTCCTCCTTCGCTCCGGCCATTCCCTTCGAGTACATGCACTGGGGATGCTTCTGCGGGCTCGGCACCCGGCAGGGGCCCTGCCAGGAGGCGCTCGTCGACCTGGTGACCAAGCCCGGCGACCCGGGCACCTTCGGCGCGGTGGCCCGGCTCCGGGGCGTGGGCTCCGATGGAACCACCGATGGTGCCAGCGTCCGGGCCATGTCTGTGGCCACCGGGTCCGGGGATGAGTATGTTTCCACGGCCGAGGAGGAGGCCAAGGCCTATGCCCAGTGGCTGGAGGCCGAGGCTGCTGCCAATGATGCCAGCAACCCCGACTACGACCCCGACCGCCTGGGCGAAGGCCTGCTGGCCGGCCGCAAGGGAGCCCAAATGTGGCGCCAAGCCTACCCCTTCATGGCGGCCGGCTACAGCAAGCGCCTCGGTTTGAATGTTGCCACCGGCATTTATCGTGCTTCCATCGGCAAGCCGCACGATATGGAGGACTGAGACCACGTAGGGAAGGTGTGGAAGGGCGCCGCGCGAGGTTGACATACCCCCCCCTCCCGGGGCAGGCGTTTCCCCCCTGCCTCCCTCTCACGCACCCTCCAATGCTACCATGCTGTCTTCGGGTTTTTTTTCTGCCCTTTCTCCGGCGGCAAATGTGCTCCCCCCTTGTCCTTGTTTTCTTCTTTTTTTTTGTGTACCATTCCTCCCTCCCCCCCCCCCCTTCTCTCTCCCTCCGGTTTACTTGCTCCTTGCTGTGCTCTTAAGAAATACACCTCCCATCTAGACACAGACACATGCACATCTTTGACGAAGCGCGCCCCTCCACAAGGGCGGCGGGGCGTGTAAAGAAGGGGGCAGGCCAAAACAAGGGCAATCAAGGGTGACATGCACCGGTTGCTCGCCAGGTGTGTGATTCACAAGGACAGGACATATATAGTATACAGGGTGTGTTTGCTCTTTGCCTCGCTCCTTCCCGCCTCCGGAGGACGGTCCTCAAAAAAGGCAGGGAGAGGAGCCCGGCCCAGGCTGCGAGGACATCCGAGGCCGGGAGGGCAGCGGCAGCGACAGCGGCGGCAGCAGCAGTGGCAGCAGCAGCGGCAACAGCAGCGACAGCAGCAGCGGCAACAGCAGCGGCAGCAGCGGCAGCAGCAGCGGCAGCAGCAGGGAGGGTACGTCACCGGAAGACCACCGATGAGTGAAGATCCCGCGCAGTTCGCAGAGCCGGCGCCGTCCCATCGCCGGTGGGATCCGCGACAAAGCTGCTGAAGCCCCCGAACCCCGGGCCACCGACGCCGGTGTCGGGCGGGCCAAAGCCAAGCACCCCACTGACCTTGGTCTGGAGCCGGGCCGCGCCGATGGCCGACACCCGGTCGAGGCCGCTGTCCGCGTGCCGGGCCCCGGGGACCGGCAGCGGCCGGGCCAGCTCAAAGCACCGCCACAGACAGAGGGTCTCATCGGGCGAAGCGGTGGCCACCATCTGCCCATCTGGCGAGAGGGCCATGTGCAGGACGCGTTGTGTATGCCGACGGAGCTCGGCCACCGGGCGCATGTCCGGATAATGCCACAGGGTGATCTGGTTGGAGGGATAGCCGTGCGTGGAGATGAGCTCCTGGTAGTCCTCGGACCAGCCAAGCGCACACACCTGGCTGCCGGTCTCGGTGCTGGACACCACGGCCCCGGTGGAGGCATCCACCAGCCGGATGGTCCGGTCGGCTTGGCCGCCGCCAGCCGCCAGGAGGCTCGGCTTCCAGGGGCACCAGGCCAAGGCCCGGACGGCCGCTCGATAAGGGACCCGCATGATGGGCTGGCCATATTCGACATTGGGCGCGGGGAGCGGCGCAGGGGCGGCGGAGGCCGGGCCACCGGCCGCACCAGGCGTGGCCCCCGGCAGGAGCATACGCCCACCGATGGAGAGGGAACGCCCGCCAGCCGTGGCAGCCACCAGCCGGCTGTCGGGGATGATCCATGCCACTTGGCCGGTGGCCGACCGAGGGGGACCCCGGCGCGAGCGCTTGGCCGCATGGTCATACAGCAGGGCCGGCGAGGTGGACAGGGCACTGGCTGCCTCCCAGATGAGGAGGGAGTTGTCATTGCCGCCAGATGCCAGCCGCGCGCCGTCCGGCGACCACTGGAGCCCGCACACCTCCATGCCGCCATGCGAGCCGACCGTGCTGCTGATGAGGCCCCGCGCGGCGCGGGTGTCAATGTGCAGCAGGCGTCCCTGCCGGGTGCCCGCCGACAAAACGGCCCCATTCCAGCTGAGCACGCCGATCCGGTGGGCACCGAGGTCCGCGTCCGACGGGCAGGAGCCCAGCCCAAGCGACGGGCTCAGGTCTGCGGTCATGCAGCCGGCCGCCGCGTCCCACAGCTGCAGGCCGCCACGAGCCGTGGCCATGGCCAGGGTGGTGGGCCCGCCACCGGGGCCGGACCACGGGGCCCACCGCAAGGCTGACACATAGTTCCCGAGGGCACTCTCGCCGGCCGAGCAGTCGGCCAGATTCAGCAGCTCCACGGCCGACCCGGTGCCGGCGTTCCAAACAAACACCGACCGGGCCAGGGCAATGGCAATGTCATCGGTCATGGACCAGTCCAGCAGGTTCAGGTAAAAGTCATCCACCAGGTCCGGCAAATCGAGGACCTTTTCCGGGTGCGCCGGCACGGAGCGCGCGATGCCGGCCGACTCGGCGCCCGACAGGGCCCGGCCACTCGGACCCCGGCGGCTGAGCCCGGCCCCGGGGCGGCGCTGCGCCGACCGGAGCACCGCATCGGCCGCGGTGGCATAGGCCCCGGTCCCGGCGCCGGTGCCGATGCTGCCACCGCCGCCGCCGCCGCCGCCGCCGCTGTTACCGGGCCGACCACCGGGGATGGCCACAGCGGCCGCTACAGCGTGGAAGGCGGCCACCTCGCGGGCGCGCTTCTCCCCGACCGACGGGAGGCGCACGGGCCCCGAGAGTTCCAGCTCCGTCGAGCTGGACCCCGACAGGGCAGCCACCGGCAGTGAGAACTCCCCCTCCAGCCGGTAGTTGAGGATGCTGCGTCGCCGCTCCAGGCCCACGAGCGAGAGGATGCGCTTCTGGTAGTGCGACCGCCCGGGCGAAAGGGCCGTCATCCCGGCCAGCGGAGGAAGCGACGCGCTCACGGCACTCAAAGGCCCGGCCGAGGAGCCGCCAATGCCGATTGGCCCGGCCCCCGAGCCCAGGGCCGCGCGCGAGGGGCCGCCCGCTGCCGCTGCCCCGGCCGTGGCCGGGGTCGTCACCGGGCCCGGATGGTGGAGGACTCGGTAGTACACGCTGTCCGGGTCATTGTCGATGGTCCGGCCTGGCAGGTACCGGTCATGGTGCGCCAGGTCCCCATCCGGCCGGTCAACCGGCCCGAGGAGACCGCCCGATGGCCGTGGCCGCCGAGGCCGGGGGTAGTTTTCGTCATCCAGGTCCATGGCTGGGATGGGGGATGCTGTTTCCGAGCGGGTGCAATATACGAGGGAGGGCAGGGGGGGGGGAAAGGAGGGGGCGAGAGGAGAAGGAAGAATGGGGCGAGATGGGAGCAAGCACAGCAGCAGGCGAAGATGGTGCGCTTTTGGGACGATCACACGGCGAGGCGAGTCGGGCCAGAGGTCGACGTTATGCGCACTCGGGGTGGTGAGGCTGGAGGGGGGCTGAAGGCAGGCAGGGATCGGGAGGGGAGCGGGAAGGGGGCCGCGCCGACCACGCGTTGCAGAGGCACAGACAGATGCCCTGGGGGAAGGGGGCGAGGGCGAGATAGGGGGGGGGGGGGGGGGGGGGGGGGGCGAGGGAGAGTCTCGTGTTTTGTGACGGCCAACATCCTGGATGGGACATGGGGAGGATGTACCGGGGCGAGGGGCGGGGGGGCGCTTGCATCGCTGCCTCTTTGCCCGCGGATGCCCACCCAGCTGTCTTCCG